TCCACATTTTGCCATCTGGAGTCCTACAAACTGAGCTGTCTGATCTGCATTTCTGAAGCAGAAGACAAGTTTGCATTGTCCCTTTTATATTAAAACATACAACAGAAACAATCCAGGAAATGTTAAGCATCTGTGGGTGCTGTTTTAACTGGAAATGGCATGACATCCATGGCTACTACTCCAGCCAAAATCAATGTCACTTTAAAAATGCTTAACTGTAACTGTATCATGTTTCTTTTCTCTCCCTTCCCCCACTAAAGAACTATACTTGATATACATCACTGGTGCTTAACCTTGGGTTACTCAGGAGTTTTGGACTGCAACTCCCAGAAGCCTTCACCACCAGCTGTCCTGACTGGGGTTTCTGGGAGTTGCAGTTCAAAAGCATCCGAGTAACAAAGGTTAAGAACCACTGATCTACATGACCAGAGAACTCAAAAGATCTATTTTTAATTTAGAAATTACATTTTATATTATAACCCTTTATATTAGCGTTCTATAGCAATTATCCTTAAACAATCCTAATATATGAGCTACTGGGCAAAAATCCTTAGTCACTCAACTCCTGGAGTAGAAAACCTAATTATGCAGGGCAGCTACAGAGTTGCTCACTTTCAGATACCGTGTTTTCTAAATGAGACATTCAAAGCCTGACATTTGCTGCCATAAATATGAATCCATCATCCTCCTGCTGCAGATGGGGTCATAACATTTACTTTTCATCAAGTCAGTTGAATGACTAGCAGTTTATTGGAAAAAATATATATACACCTTGACTGTCTCTGTAATTTTACACACATGACATTTTGTGCTCTAGTTCACACTGGCTGGTACACACCATTTGTTATCTTACCCATTTAAATGTTTCTTGGTCTCCCAGTCTGGGAACTCTGTAGCAGAACTTGGGGGAAAAATACCTGGCTATATGTGACATATAATGAATGCACTTTATTTTTATTTCACAATAAATTAGAGAGGCTGACATTTCTTTAGCACAAACCATTTCTGTGAATTATTTCACTGCACACTTATTAATAATGGAGTCAGCTCACAGGAAGGATGGGAGGAGTTTATTCTCACTGAATAATGCAGTTCTATATTGCCAAAGATTTAAGCAAGACAGAATGTGTAATGATATAAATAATGGCACAATTGCTATATAGAAAACCAAGGGCAGCCATGGAAGAGACTAAAACTCCAGTTTCCTTCTCCTCACCTTCATGGCTTTGACAGCCTGTGATCCAGAATAATCAAATTCTCCTGCTTGACCGATGGACAAACCGCCTGATCCTAGGATCAGAACTTTGGAAACCTGAAAACAAGAAATAATGGCAACAGAATTAAGCCACCATGTCCACGAACTGTCCCCAGTTCTCAAGTAAGCTGCTTCTCCTTTTTCAAAGGTTTCCATAACAAAGAAGGTGGATTGTGTGTTTGCAGTACAGACACAAAGACCAAAGACAAGAATGTTAACCACTGCATTGCGCTTCTTCAGACACTATTTGCTCATATATCCATTGGGTGAAATGGCAGAGCGGATGGCACCTACTGTCCAAAAATAAGTGTATTTGCCTAGTAGTACAAGCAAGCAGCAAGTTCACTTGTGGCAAAGTTTGTTCTACCATCTGCCAGGGCATCTTTAGACAGATTACTGTGTGACAGAATTTCTTATTAATGGGTTACTCACTTCCCAGTGACCAAGCAAATCTGAAATTGGTTTGATTTGGATGCATATCTCCTGAATTTTCCTCTCTCTCGTTTATAGAAAACTAGCAGGCTTTTCTTCCTTTAAAAGTGAATTACAGTTTTCATGTACAATATATGAAATAATTCAGTCGTGAAAAACACCTGTTTCATGAAGGTGGGATATTGTGTTTTCTATACCCACAATTCAAAAATCCAGGAAATTGCCTAATATTTCTGCACAATATCCTTGGAAAAGACCTTGATGTTAGGAAAGTGTGAAGGCAAGAGGAGAAGGGGACGGCAGAGGATGAGATGGTTGGAGAGTGTCATCGAAGCAACCAATATGAATTTGACCCAACTTCGGGAGGCAGTGGAAGACAGGAGGGCCTGGCGTGCTCTGGTCCATGGGGTCAAGAAGAGTCGAACATGACTAAACGACTAAACGATACCCACAATTCAAAAATCCAGGAAATTGCCTGATATTTCTGGACAATATCATGCCCATGTGGCCAGCAGGAAAAAGGAAACTTTACATAGCAGAGGGCAGCTTGAATGTTGACAAGATAAACTGCAGTAGTCAAGATGATCTACAGCAGTGTTCCTCAACGTTTTTTGTCGTACGGACCGGCGGAGCCTCTGAGGGAGCTGGGGCGGCCCCTCGCGCTCGTGCTCTCTGGCGCACACGCAAAGTGGTTGAGGAGCGCACGCGCCATAGGTGCACACGCGTTCCCCCACCACTTCACGCATGCGCAGGAGTGCCTGCACACCTACCCCTGTGCGCAGGTGCATGCTTGAAGGGGTGAGGGACTGTATGGCAGTGGTGGTGGCGGCGGCGGCGGCAGCCTGAGAGTCTGAGCATGGCCGGGGGGGCTCCCTCTGGCTACTCGCCTCTCAACTGGCTCCAACAAAGCTCGGACCGCGCTCCTCCCCACCCTCTGCGGGAAATGCAAATCTAATCCTCCTGGAGCGTGCCTGGAAAGCACTTAGAAAGCCAGAAGCACAGACAGACCCAGCGCCCGGACCTTACTGGGATCCCGCTTTGGGGGAGGGGGCAGGAGAGTGAGGACAGGCAGCATCCCTATCCTGTCCCTTCTTAGAGCATGCTGCGAGCCGGAGACTCTTCCCCCTCTGCCCCTGGACCCCCATGGGTCCGTCTGTGCTGCTGGCTTTTCAGACAGACTCTGCCTCCCGGAGCCCGCCTGGAAAGCACCTGGAAAGAGAGCAGTGTGGACAGACACAGTGGCTGGAGACAGGAGCCGAGGAAATTCAAATGGCCTCCCAGCCGGGCTCTGCCTCCAGGGGCAGAGGGGGGAAAGCCTCCGGTTTGCAGCGTGCTCTAAGAAGGGACCTACATACAACTTTGAAAGGGATGGGGGGGGGAAGACGGCGTTAGTCTGGCTTATGAGCCGTTGGATCCAGGGCAGGGAGCAGCGACGCCCAAGCGCCTGCCCTGACACACACGCACGCGAGAGTTTGCCCCTGAAGTGTGGCTGGACTTTTCTCCTTTGCCTCCCCACCCCATTTTGAGAACACCGAAGGAGGCAAACGTGGTTCCCTGGGGGAAGGCTCGCTTCTCCAGGTGGCGTTTTAGAAGGAGGGACGCAAGTGGGTCAGTCGGGGCCTCAGGCACAACCCCGAGGAACACACCCCAACCCCCAAAGAGACAAAAACGTGGGGCACCTGGAAGGCTCGGCGAGGAGCCTGGATTATAAGCCGGTGGGTCCGGGGCAGGGAGCGGCGGCACCCGCGCGCCCGCCCTGACAAAAACACGCGCGCACGAGTTCACCCTCAAAGTGTGGCTGGACTTTTCTCCTTCGCCTCCCCACCTTGTTTTGAGCCGGTGGGTCCTTACATCCCCCCCACGCATGGTCTGTCCGTGTTGCTGGCTTTCCAGCCTCCAGCTTGTGGCGTGCTCTAAGAAGGGACATACACTTTTGAAAGGGACGTAGGGGGGAGGCAGCGTTAGTCTGAGGGAGCGGCGGCGCCCAAGCGCCCACCCTGACACACACACACACACACACACGGGTTCGTCCCCAAAGTGTGGCTCCTTTGCCTCCCCACCCCATTTTGAGCACACCGAAGGAGGCAAACATGGCTCCCTGGGGGAAGGCTCGCTTCTCCAGGTGGCGTTTTAGAAGGAGGGACGCAAGTGGGTCAGTCGGGGCCTCAGGCACAACCCCGAGGAACACACCCCAACCCCCAAAGAGACAAAAACGTGGGACACCTGAAAGGCTCTGCAAGGAGCTTGGACTATAAGCCAGTGGGTCCGGGGCAGGGAGCGGCGGCACCCGCGCGCCCGCCCTGACAAAAACACGCGCGCACGAGTTCACCCTCAAAGTGTGGCTGGACTTTTCTCCTTCGCCTCCCCACCTTGTTTTGAGCCGGTGGGTCCTTACATTCCCCCCACGCATGGTCCGTCCGTGTTGCTGGCTTTCCAGCCGGGCTCTGCCTCCCGGAGCCCGCCCGGGAACCGACCAGCGTGGACTGACCCAGCACTGGGAGCCAGGAGCCCAGGAAATTGAAATGGCCTCCTAGCCAGGCTCAGCCTCCTGGCACTTGGACAACACCACCACCAAGAGGCAAGTGGCTGGAGGGAGCACCCTGGCCAGGCTCAGCCTCCTGGTGCTCGGACACTGCCGCACCACCTCTGCTGGGAAGCAAGCAGCCGGAGGGAGCACCCCATCCAGTCTTAGCCTCCTGGGGCTCGGACACAGCTGTGCCACCTCCGCCGGGAGGCGAGCGGCCTGAGGATACAGGTGAGAGTTGGGGGACTATAACAAAATCAAGAATGATATTTTTTTATGTAGCTGTTTAAAGGCTGGAAAGCTGTTGCACAGAACTGAGCTCCAGTCTACCATATGGGAAGCTGTTTCATGGAAAAGAACTTTGATTTGCAGGCCTGGAAGCTGTAGCTATGGGGCATCCACTAGACATGCATGGAAATGAGCTGTGCTTTGTACAGCTGTGCTTTTGTGGGGAAATATCCAAAATGTTAAGAATTGTATCACACAATGAAATTTTAGCATGTATACATTACTGAAACAGTGACATCTACGCTGGTTCGGGCGTGTCGTGAGAATGGCTGATGGTCAGATTCAAAAAGATCTCATGTATTTATTTATTGGATTTCTATCCCGCCTATCTAGACCAAAGGTCTACTCTGGCCAGTTTACAAATTTAAAAACAATGAAACCGAAAACATATATTATAGGTCCAAGATGGCGGTGTATAAGAAATTAAGACATGGCAGGAGGGAAAGCCTGCCCAAATAGCCAGGTTTTAAGTCTATTCTTGAAAACAACCAGAGAGGGAGCCAGTTGTTCCAAAGGCGAGGGGCCACTGTCAAGAAGGCCCTATTCCTCATCCTTTCCCTCTGGACCTCCCTCGGCATTAGGCCCCTCAGTCACCCAGCCTGACTGGAATGAGTGACTTTAGCAGAACTGGGTGGGAGATGGTTCTCTGCCAGATTTCAAGGTCCTAAACCATTTAGGGCTTTATATGTAATCATAACAACTTTGAAATCAATGCAGAAATGAATGGGTAGCCAATGCAAGGCAGCCAGCATGGGGGAAACATGTTGGTACCTTTTCACCCCTGTAAAAAGTCTGGCCGCCGCATTTTGCACCATCTGAAGTTTCTGCGTCAGTCTCAAAGTCAGACCGACATAGAGTGCATTACAGTAGTCTAGTCTGTATGGAGAATTAGTGCAGGGAAATCACCCCAGAGGGAGACCACAGCTGCCATACAAGGATATCTGCAAGCGGGATCTGAAGGCCTTAGGAATGGACCACAACAGATGGGAAACACTGACATCTGAGCGTTTAGCCTGCAGGCAGGCATTGTATCACGGCCTCTCCCAATTTGAAAAGACCTTTGTCCAGCAGGCCGAGGCAAAGAGGCAGTCCCAAAACCAGCAAAACCAGGGAGCTGGACGGGGACAGATTGTATTTGTCTTCAGTGTGGGAGGGATTGTCACTCTCGAATTGGCCTTCTCAGCCACACTAGATGCTGTTCCAAGGCCTCTATTCAGAGCACATTACCATAGTCTCTCAAGACAGAAGGATGCCTACTATAGCACACATACACACTTGCTTTGCTTTCACCTAGTGCCCCTTGGTCCTACCTACTATTGAATGTGCCCCTCAAGAGCCCTCTGAATTGGAATTTGGACCCCTATTCAAAATGATACCTTACTGGTGATGTACTTGACTGTGATGATATCACAGTACTATAACACTTTGTGGAATTACCTTCCAAAGGATAAGATAAGCATATTAGAATGAAGACAATGTTCCTTGTGCTAGTCAAATGGGAAATCTTCACCAATCAAGGATCAATATAAGAATAAAGTGGTTTATCAGCCTTTTGCCAATAGTTTCAGAAAGATTACTGAAAGGGAAATCTTTCCTTCAGTTTCAATTGAACTTATCATAAAACTGGTTAGCCTGCATTTGAGACTGCATCATCAATCATTATCTCACTGAATCAGTTAAGTTGCATACACTGGCTTGCATAATGAGTAAGATCCTGAAGCTCTCCTTGAAGTTAAGTGATATTGACAATGATGGGTGGAAAAAAAAGGTCTGTGGAAAAATCTAGCAATGCCGTATACTGAGCATTTTCACACATGTGGCTTCCACGCGTTTGAAATTCTCACGCTGTCTTTGTGGATGCAAAATAAATGCAGAGGAGTTGGCAATATAAATTAAGGTTCTGTTTGATCCATGTGGGTGCCATTTTGAGTTCCACACTGACTCAAGATGGAATCATATAAAAGTCTTACTGTCAGGGATGCTGGCAAGACTTTGGGTCTTGAGTCCCAAGTCCAAATCCAAGTCTTTGGTACCAAGCCCCAACCACAAACCCCCCCTATTAAAAATGAGCTTTTTTCTCAGAAAAAAGGAAGAGGTGGGTGGGTTCTGAGTTGCAAATTCAGTCCAAGTCATTGGAGGGGGGAAAAATCTGAGGTGAGTCTAAGTCACCAGTGTGACTTGATAGTGAGTCCCACATCTCACCTGCTTATTGTAAAAGTTCCTGCAGACTGGCCTTCTACTTCTAAACAAAAAGATGGGCCTGGAAAGAACTGAAACATGACTGAGACCAAGAACCTAGGACCAAGCACCACCTGCACTACTAAAATGGCGCATACATAGAGTTTGGTATCAGGCATCACTTGCAGGCAGTAAACATTGGCTTGTTTTGCACTAAAATTCCAAGAATATCCCAGCTGCCAAGGTTCCTCTGGGATTTGTAATCCAAAAAAGTAACTTTGCCCATCTGAAGTATCATCACTCTGGAAACTTGATGCGCATGACTTTTCTGGCCAGAAAGGGCTTAGCAGAGAAGTGGTCCATCCAGCCTGCACACCAAGAAGAAGCCCTGTTCATTTACTCTACAGAACCAAAGCATCTCAGTGAAGAACATTTTGTTTCATCCTGTTTCCTTGGGTATTTTTGTAACATCTGCTGATCAAAGATTTAAGGCTGTTAAACAAATCCATTTCATCTTTGGTTGGTGAAACACTAGGATGACCAGGTGCAACACACAATGCATTTGTTGATTATCACGTTAACTCAAAGACTTGTCTTCATGTTTCAATCAGAGTTGATCACAACCTCTTGTGTTACATCCTTTGTTCAATGCCCAGATGCTCTACAGAAGGATATATTACAAAATTAAGGTCGTGTGGAAAACATTCTAAAAATGGGAACAGCTGAGTCTTATATACAGCTGTAAATTAATATCCACAAAATATAGAAGCCCAAAAATAGTCTAGCAATAGGCTCGAACGTGGATTCATTTTCTCCTCCTTCCTGAACTCACCAGTAATTTCGGGTAATTCACTCCATCTCTGGCTCAGTTCCCCTACTGATGACACAGGGAAAAATCTATCCTATAATGGTAAATGCAAGGCCTGATTTCTACAAGGTTGTGTTTCAGGGTTGAAAGAGCCAGAGAAGTGACAGCTTCTAGTTAGGATGCCCTTTGCTCATAAGATCAGACCAGAGTTTGGGAAGAGTTATTGTTTTGGACTACAGCTGCCAGCATCCCCCAACCAATATAGCCATTTGAGGTTATCATTTAAAGAAAATAAGGTCTGGTTCAGACATGAGTAAGATCACTGCACAAAAGCAGAGATACTCTACCAAAATGTCTAAATTTCCAGCCCTGTGGGCTATATCAGGTGATGCATATTAATTCCATGGTTACACCAGGTAAATGTCCCCCTGTTTTCTCGACTCCTTTACTCCCTGAGCAGTCATGTGACACCATATTTTTCCATTTATAAAATGACCCAAAGTATAAGATGATCCCACCCCCTTTTTCTAACTCCATATTAGAAAAAGCAGGGATCAAAGGGCTCCCTTTTTGCTAAGCCCTGTGCCCTGCAAAAGGCAAGGAAAGTGGCTGTCAAAGTGACTGCCACTTTTCCTGGCCTTTTGAGAAGGCACAGAGCTTAGCAAAAAGGAAGGGAGCAACCCCTCCCCTTCCTTTTTGCTAAGCCCCATGCCTTCGCAAAAGGCAGTCGGAAAGAACTGCCTTCCATGTATAAAATGACTCTCAATTTTTTCTCTATTTATTTAAGGAAAAGGTGTTTTATACGTGGGAAAATATGGTATATATCCCAGGGTGTACATTCTGGTGTGTTTTTGAATTACCATAACATTTCCCTAAATGATATGTGTTATGACTGGCTACACTTTGGTACTGGAATATTTTCCTCAGGGTTGTTTATGTCTCTGGGGCCCCTTTTTTAAAAATAATTTTGCTATATCGATGTTTCAACATCATTTACTTGATGCGTATGAGTTTCTCTGCTGCATTTGTGCCTCTTGTAGCAGAGAAACTCATAGTCAGATTTTGTTTTCATTCCAGCTCTACCATGAGGTCCCTAAGAGGAAAACGTGAAATGGCTCAGGGGAAGGAACACCACAAGGTGGCTTGCCATAAAAAAAAATTAGTACAGCCATGCACACAGGACACCACTATAGCTGTTGCACAATTAATCCTGCAACAAAAAAGGTAGAAGCCTCCCAGTGGACAGGATTTGATGCAAAGATAGCATGGAAGGGGAACAAAAGAATAGATAATGGCCATGTGTGGTCTAAACCCCCAAAAAGGGTTGAAATTCACAAGGAGCAACTCAGAAATATTTTGCTATTGTGACCGCAGCCCCAGTTACTTATCTGTGGCAACATTCTATAAAAGGCTCAGAATAATGTGCAGAAAACTGGATAGCAAGTCTACTTTTCCTCTTTGTCTGACACTTTGTCCTATTCCTTTCACACCTCACCTGATGAAGAGAATGTTCTCCTGAAAACTTACACAAGTGCATACATTTTTCCACACTTTCCTATGCCTTTTTCATTGGCCTATTAAAAGTGTCACCTTGGTATGGATTTTGGGATCTGTTTTGTATCAACATAGCTATCCCCACTTTTGTTTTTGATTTTATGAATGTTGCCCACATAATTATACAGCTCAGCCCTAGCAGTTGAAAGAAAACTGGTTCTGAAATTGAGCCCTGGTGACCACTGGGGCAAATTAAGCTCTAGATATATGAGATTAAAAATTGTGCCATTTCTTGAGCTTTAGGGATCTAGCAAGTCATAAATCTAAACAACAAAAAAGTCAATACTTCTGCTTTAGGTCAGTACTGACAGTCACACATCCCAATTCCCAGGTAACAATTGCTTTAAGGCAAAATGAGAATTAATAATATAACTTTTAACAAAATTAGGACATCTTTTGAAGGAAGTTTGGGTTTGCAAATTCCCCAGGTAATGGTTCCAATGGGCACATCTGCCCATCTCTCTTAATAACAGTAGCAGCCACTATATGACTGATGGCAAAATGCAAAGCACATTAATAAACTGACCTCAACTCTCGACGTTGCAGCTGTGGCCTTGGGCAGCACCGAAGCAATGTGTGTCCCTTTTCCCTTCTTGATCAGTGAAATAAATGAATCAAATAAGAACTAGAGAAAGCCAACAAAATGTATATCAGCATCGAGAAGCAGCACTCCATTCGTATCACAAACAGAAAAAGTTAGAGGAAGAGTGGATTTTATGAGCCAGACCCTGCATAGTATCAGGGTCACACTGCCATCAGTCACACCATAGTGATTCCAACAACCACATATTTTTCATATTGCATAAAGGTACTGTGTGGTTCCTAATTGTATCCAGGAAGCAAAATAACAAGCATACATTTGTAATAAGGAAAATCTGTTTCTTCCACTAAGTTTCTTGTCCTCATAGGTTGAAAAGATGCAAATCACCCATGTCCAGAATCCTGTGAAACACACCCAGAGGTTTCCGTAGAGAGAGCCTCTTATGGTGAGCAATCTCCATTGCACAATGGTTAAACTGCACTACCGCAGTCAAGCCTCTGCTCATGACTTGAGTTTGATCCTGAGAGATTCAGATAACTGGCTCCAGGTTGACTCAGCCTTTCACCCTTCCAAAATTTGTAAAATGAGTGCTCAGCTCTCTGCGGAGAGTGGTCTTTTCATGATTATGTTGTAAACCACACAGAGAGCGTTCCTATAAACCACTATATAAATTGAAACGATAATAATGATTTATTCACCTCATCGGATGAGTTAGTCTGCACTCAGAGGAGCCAAGGAAAGGTGGAGAGTGTCTGCCCCAAAGAAATCAATGCATCAGAGAGAACATTATTTTCAAAAGTAATTCAAGTGTAGAAATGGGGACATTGGCATTTGTATACCAATATGGATATCCCCCATGCAGCTGGACCTTATGAGGGGCTGGTCCCTGGGGCCAGACTGTTCACTCATGCGTCCTGCTGTGGTGCCAGTCTTACTCGTTCCTCCAATGGCACCTAGAGTACCACTCTCTTCCTTGCTCGGCCGGCCACTCCAGGCAGGAGGCAGGTGGACGAGTCTCCTTGCACAGCTTCTGAGTGGCCAGATGAGCTGGAAGAGAGCAGCACTCTGGGCACCATCGGAGGATGAGCAGGACCAGCACTGCAGTAGGACGCGTGAGTGGACGGTCTGACCCCAGGGGCCGGACCCTCATTAGGCCCTGTTGTGCAGGGATATTTGTATTCATATACGAATATCCCCATCTCTATTCAGGAAAGCCAATTTTTACCCATTCTAGCTCTACTTCTACTGTGGCCTCCAGTTATATTTGCTTACACCAAGAACGATGAACTTGCAGCTTTTCAGACATTTTTGGACTGCACTTTTCATCATTCCTCAACATTGGCTATGCTGGCTAAGGCAGCAGATCAGTGCTGGAGTTCAACATCTGTACAGCTGCAAGTTGCTTAGTCTGCCCTAGTTATAGAGTGTTGACCAAGATGACCTTTTGTAACCCTTTCCCCAAATCCTTACTAAAAATTACAGATTCCAGTGCTGGGTTTTGCCTATATATTAGCATAAAGAGGCAGTTTGCATAAATTCTATTTTTGCTCTCATATGCACAAGATTTGAAATGTTTTAGTGCAGCATCCCAACAAGATCATCCCTCTGGAATTTGCCTATTTAGCATCATTACAGCTCTTTCTAATTAGGTTGTGAGCATAATACATCTAATTAATAATTAACCTAATTAATGGATGCATTGTATCCCAAACCAACCAGACACCCAAGCTCTTAAGAAGCTTAAGGCACACATCTAATCCAATTTGGAGAAAAATCTTCACACAGATCCGTGTGGATGTTGTGCTGATTTACCACAGAGGTTGATCTGGAACAGTCATTCTCAACCCTTTTTTTGGCCATGGCCATAAAGACAGTATGAAAAAATACAGGCTGAATCAATATTGTATAAGTCACATAACGAACCTTATAAGGTGGTGTCTGAAGAATTGTTCCTAGTCTGTGGTCCCTTTCAAATGTGCCCGGGCCCCCAGGGGGGGCATTATGGCCACCACTGAGAATGGCTGTTCTAGAAAACAGGCATATAATTTCTATGGAAATTCAATTTCATTTGTGTGTTCCAGTGGGCAGAACATTAGGATTTCATTACATTGACATCCCATGATTTCATTAAGCAACCCTGAACAAGCCACTCCTGCCCCACATTAGCTCTCTGGTTTATCTGATATTTTATTTATCCCATCCACCCATCTGAGTAGCAGTTTTGCATCCAGGCATGCCAAGGGAAAGGTGTTACATTACTTATTAGGTTGCCCTCATTCCAGAATGTTCTAGCTTTTTCTTTTACATAATCACGCCAAGTTTTCATTACAACTAAGATTAAGGGAGCATGTGAATGTGGGATGGATGATTAACCCTCTTGTACAGGCTTTGATACAGTAGGTAAAAGTAGAGCTAGGGGATACATGTCTCCCCACTTCCACAACCATTGCTGCTTTCTGCTTTCTTCTATGTTTTAAGATTTGCTGATAGCCTTTTTTTTTTGCAACATCCTTACTTTACTTGCTATGGATGTCTTTGTATGCTCCATGAGTGCCAGTGCATCACTCTGATTTCTACTTGGTTGGGAGCAGGCACACTTGGGAAGCCAGGCTACTGACCAGGGAAACTAGAGGCCAACATCAGCCTGAACATGCCTGTCTGCTATGTGCTGCCCCCTCCATCCCAGTTCATTAGCATTTCCTTGATGGGGAAAGATAACTTTCCACATTTTCTGTTTTCATTCCTTCCAGTCCAAGAACATGCAACTATCTGCAGAGATCCAAGAACAAATTGATCCAGGCCACCTCCAAATCAGCTTGCAGTGGGTCTTATTTGTGGCATATATTTGGGATACAAATTGGTCAGGTGATATTCACACACTCCGAGTTTTAACCAAAAAAACCCCAGTAACCATTAATTAACATGTGGTTCCACACACACCCCTGGTAAGTATTCTTTCTGGTTATCTCCAGTGAATTCTGAATATTAAGTTCAAAAGCAGGCATGCCCTACCTTTCCTTGTTATGTATTCTGGTGTTGTTTAGTCACACTCCCCCTAACTACTCAACATGTTGCTGTAGGCATTGCTATGAGAAGTCACAGACAAGGGATTAAGCTTCATTTTCAAATATGAGAACAAGAAATTGAGTATGTGGATAACTCTACAATTTCAGAAATATAAAAGTAGTCAAAATGTATTCCAAAGTTAATAAGTCTTTTTTTCAAAGAACAAAACCAGGTGCCTTTCAACAATACAGAGCACCTCTATTTGCATAAATTAGACATAAAATGTGCTGGGCCCAGCCTAACCTATGCAGTTGAGTTACATGAGTTAACTTTTCAAGGGAACTTTTCTTCTTAAAAGAAACATCAGAGACAATTGAAAGCATACAAAAAAACCCAGACCTGTATCAGCCTTTCCCCAACATGGACTTCTAAGGTCTTGTTGGGATGTAAGTCCTCTCATCCCCACCCAGTGTGGTCTGTGGTCAAGGACGATGGTCAACTGGAGCCTAATACCAGGCTTGAGTTTGGGAAGACCTGGACTAGGAATTCCATATCATCAGGTTTCCTTCTCCCTTGTTCCTTTGCCATATGAGCTGCATAAGAATGTTACTACAAAATGTTTCCAAAGGTTCCAAGCTTTAGCTGGTCAGCCATTCCTTTCCCATGCTCTAAATTCAAATGTGTTTTACCAGAATCTTCCCTTCACAATACCTCTGTGTCTGTTGGTCCTGGATTGCCTTCTGGGTAAAACTGTGCTGTAAAAATAGGCTTGTCCTCATGCATAATTCCCTGAAATGGTTAAAAAAGAGAGAGAGGTTACTTTGAACTTTCTGGGGGGAAAAGAGAGAGTGTGATTAAAGCACCACTGTTGGCAAATCATATAACTACTTAAGGTTAAAAGACGCATATAACACAGGGGCTGAAAAACATATATTCTAGGTGGTTCACAAAATGGGTTTTATTCACTAAACTCTTAAGAATCTAAATTCTCACTTATCTTGTCACACATGACAGCAAGAAGCTGCAAAGGTATCCTAATTTTTGCATTAGTCCTGGGGTAAAATTTGCTTGTAAAACCAATTTTTCCTGGGTAGATGGGGCTCGTTAGCTTTGGAAGGGAAACCATGTAGGGGAAGGAAAACTCTGATTTCAAACCTCCACTGCCTTGTGGCTATATCCACCAACGGAAAAGGCTTTAGGAGTTAACCTCGAGGCACACTCTGGAGCCGGAGGCAGTTCATGTCGTTCTGGCAACTCTCTGGAGCCGGAGGCACTTAGTGATGTTCTGGCAACTCCTGCAACATTGCTGGAACCAGTTGTATTGGCTCTTGCCTTTCCATGGGACTATTTCAGTGACGTGGAGAGGGGGGATTTGCTGCTTGGGTAATAGTCTATCCTCCATATTATTTGACCCAGGCTTCGTGATCTGGAGAGGACACTTCAGCTTCTCGTACAGCATGAAAATTACACGGGAAGTAGCAGTTATCGGTTATAAGTCTTTACTTGATTGGCATAGAGCATGATGCCAGGGGCTACTTCCAATGGTGGGAAAGGTCATTGCACCTCACTAGGAAGCTACCGCATGCCTTAAGCTGGGCAGCCCCCATCCAGTAAGGTGCTGCCTTGCCACGGTCAGTTAACCACATGGGGTGTGGGGGATTTAGGGTGAAAGCCGACATGCAGACGGTCGGATTCCAAAAGATTTCCTATGGAGAATTAGTGCAGGGAAAGCACCACAGAGGGAGACCGCAGCTGCTATACAAGGATATCTGCAAGCGGGATCTGAAAGCCTTAGGAATGGACCTCAACAGATGGGAAACTTTAACATCTGAGCGTTCAGCCTGCAGTCAGGCGGTGCAGCATGGCCTCTCCCAATTTGAACAGACCTTTGTCCAGGAGGCCAAGGCAAAGAGGCAGTCCCGAAACCAGCAAAACCAGGGAGCTGGACGGGGGACAGATTGTATTTGTCTTCAGTGTGGAAGGGAATGTCACTCTCGAATTGGCCTTCTCAGTCACACTAGACGCTGTTCCAAGTCCTCCATACAAAGCACGTTACCATAGTCTCTTGAGACTGAAGGATGTCTACAGAACCAATTTTTGCACAGAATGCACAGAACGATGTTAACCCCTATGCTGTTGTACAGATTTTTGAAAAGTCGAAGCACTGAATTGATTATTTATGACTTTTTGGTCAATCAGCCATTTTCTCTGTGCTTGCTGTGTGAATGTTCATGAACCTGTGTGTTTTGCTTCATAAAGAGACCAGTTTTGTGCAGAAATGCTGACGTTTCTGTTGGGTTTTACCAAAAGATACATTCTTCAGAAAATTGTAACTTCCAAATGTGTTCCTGAAGGATGGTAGCAAACCACACAGCACTGGAGCATAGAAATAAGAACAACCTTAGAACTGTAGAACTGAAGAGGACCCTATGGATCATCAAATCCATCCTCAGTCAAGGAGGCACAGTGAAGGATTAGATCCCCAACCTCTGGCTCCACAGCCAGGGACCTAAACCACTGGGCTATCCAGCATTTGCTTGTTGAGACAGTTTATTGAGACCCAACTTCTCCACAAACATATATCTCTATGGTGTAATATGAAATATCTAATCTGAAATTTGGAAACGCTGTGGAAGTTTTTTAGGCTATAGCTTTCAGAATGATACAGCCAGATTGACCACTAACCTTGCTGACTGATGGATTCTGGGAGTTGTAGTCTAAAGAAATAACTTTGCAAAGCTTTGATCAGCCTGAAGGATGACCTCAAAAATCTGGCCTACTACTCTGTGATTTTAAGCTGGCCTTCATAAAGGCATTGTTTGCTGCTATCCCTGTACAAATAATAATGATAATAATAAATACTTGTGTGCCATGAAGTCGATTCTGACTTACGGCAACCCCTTTCAGAACAGATGCAATAAATTATGCAAAAAATTTAATTAAAGAAAAATAGTTAATTGAGGGATGCGGTGGGGGGATATACACACACATGAGGATTCATGAGGTTGACATTTTAGGTAAAGCAGATGCAAGCACATTATCTAGTGAGCTTCAGCAAAGGTACAGTTCATCTTCCCTGTCTCATCAAACACTTCACAGGTACCCAGAGAGAGGGAGGAAGGGTCACCTCATTTGTCTGGTCATTTGCATTCACAAAAAGAGGCTTCCAGCCAGGAGGGAGGGAGTTGCTGTCGATCGCATAGCCATGATTCTGAGCAGTAATGAAAGCCTGTCCATTCATCATGTTCACGACCGGCTGATTCTGTCCCCTAAAAACAAACAGATGAAAAGAAAAGAGATAGGAAAGGGGTGGTGTGGGAGCAAACAGTGTGTGTGAAGGGCAAGGGGAGATGGCAACAGTGGATTATGTACGGAAGCCACACAAGGAGAAGTTTCAAGCTAAAGCAAAGTCACCTTTTCACATGAAATAAGAATATCCCAGTGGGGAGGCAGGACTCACTGGCATCATCATTTAAGGCTAATGAGGGCCTGCCAGTCACTGGCCAGAATCTTATTGGTGTTGGTTCAAGGTTTGTATAACTTGCCTTGGCTCATTGTGGCTGATTGACAAGGTGCCAGTGTGTGTCACTGTCTCATGTGCGATTACATACCTGACTGTGTAACTGAGATGTGTCCACACACCTCAGCAAATCCCCAAAACTAGTTGCCACGAGTTATATAATAGCAAAAATCAACAGGTTTACAGCCACCATGAAAGATAGAGAATCACTATGTTCAGCCAGCAGAATTTTATAGCTTTATATAAAATGCAATGATAGAATGAAAGGAACCCACATGCCAACATCACCTACACAAGAGGATTTTGGCCCCTGCACAGTACCAGACAGGAGGCAATAGCAAGGATGGATGCAGTAAGAAAGAAGCTACTAATGAAAGCTACAGGGTCTTATTTCTGAAATGGACTTACTTAATTCTGAATAAAATATTAGAGAAGGGTCTTGACACAAGGGAATATGTATTACGGGATATTCTAGGACTATTTTAAGGACTGTATGGAGCCACTGTTCTAATTATATAAGGCAGGGATGGGAATCTGTGGCCTTTCCGATTTTGTGTCACTACAACACACACACACACCGCTTCCCTCAACACTGGATATGCCAGTTAGGACTAATGGGATTTATAGGAGAAAAAGCATCTGAAGGGCCGCAGTTGCCTACCCCTGCTATAAAAGTATATTGCTCAGAAGTGTCTTTCCACTTCTGGAAAGTCCCATTCAGAAAAGGCATCTGAAGTTTGAATTAACTGCTTCCTCATTGCAGCTTCTACTTTTGCCATTACTACAGCAGCAACATTACTGATAAATACCATCTTGATTTCCTTAAATAAACATTTCCCATTCCTGGATGGGAGTGGGATTTCTCTCTCTTCTTCTCTTTTAAAAAAATTTGAAATGGCAATATGTTAATATAAAAGAAAGAGACGGGCACGATACCCCTGAAAAGCCTCAGTGATGCTTTAACCATTCTTAGCAGACAGGTTTGCACTGACAACGGTGCTTTGATTCAAATGCATCAGTACAGATCGGGGCGGAAAACAAATGGGAAGAAAATGCAGATGACGTTGAACTGCGGTGGATTAACAACAGCGTTGTCTGAATTTTTAATACAAAGTCAGTGAGCAAAGATGACGATTCCAGATCAAACTGTAATGTGGGTTCAACCCATTCTGGTAACATTAATAAACCACAAGTGCAGAAAATGTTTTTTTCCCCCTTCACAAAGACTGAATATCCGTAAAAGCTCTTCAGTGAAGCATGTGGAAGCTATGATTCAAGCCATTCTTTTGTCTTATCCTTTCTTGTTGATTACAGAGTTGTCTAGGGCCAAGGGGCTGTTCTTCCAATGGCTGCCTGATGCAGGCAGACGGCAGCACCTATATGGCAGCACAAAGGAAAGGCTTTCCATGAAGTTTTTGGTCTATCTTTTAGTGCTCCTGAACAATCTGTAAGCCGTCTCGCTCAGCTGAGCATCCTAAGATTTAGGAAAGCTTTGAATGCACTTCCTTCTGCAAGGATAGATGGCAAGTTTATAGGTGTTCCATAACATGAAATACTTCAGCAGATTCCACTCAGAAGAAGCGGAAAACAGTTTGCATGGTTCTGATATGCAATTTTTACAGGAGGCAGGGAAGCCACCAAAACAGGGACCTCCCCTCCTCCCCACAGCTGTCTCTCATTGCTGGACCCCTGTCATTATTTGAAAGAAAGGCACTTTTCACAAGTGCATTCTATCTTTTCCTCTGTTTAGGTCTCTGATAGTTCAGCTGCAGCTATTGAGCCAACAATGGCTTCAGGAAGTTAACAGGCCACTGGCAATTCATTGGGCAAAGGGGAAACATCTAACATGCAGAAGAGAGAAGTTACTGAAGACGTTGGACAGATGCAGGGGCTGGGTGTGGGCTACAGCCTTTGCTGATATTTTGTGACCACTCTTTGGTATCAACCAGCCTGGGAATTACCTGTTGCTTTGTTATGCAACCACAGCCTGTCTCTGAATAGTCCCATAACTGCATCTCCACTAGCACTATAAGTTCAAAGTAAAGCGAAGAAGTTTAGCAGATGCTTTTCCTTCCTTCCTTCCTTCCTTCTATTTATTTATTTATTTATTTATTTATTTATTTATTTAACTTATATGCCACCCAAACTACCCAAAGGTCTCAACAATTTGTCATCAACATCGGCACCAGACAAATCTGACTCGGGATGGTGTTCCATAGTCTGGGGGCAGCTGCCTAAAAGGCCCTTTGTCTACGAGACATCCCTCTTACCTCCTTGAGCTCTTTTAGGAGGGTCCCCTGGCTAGATCCATCCATCCATCCATCCATCCATCCATCCATACATACATACATACATACATACATACATACATACATACAGTACATACATACATCCTGGTGGCACATGCTGTTGTGAAGAATTTTTCTCTTTCTTTCTTTCTTTCTTTCTTTCTTTCTTTCTTCAGCACCCAGGGGAGCTGTAATGACGGTGCCTGAGCAGGAGGAGGTGACATGGCACTTTGCTTCCCACTCCAGATGTTTAGGCTTGAACTGAACAGCTGCCTGCCTTTAGATTGTCTCTTCTGAACGGGATCAGCAAAGGTACCTTGGAGCTTCATATCTTAGTTTTACCATGAAATGTACTATCCTTTTTCTTTCAGTGATCTTAGCATTCTGCTAAGCTTTTCTCCTTGACTTTTTTTCTAGTATTACCACCAACGTTGTACAGAAAGCCTAGAGTCAAACTAATTTCTTCATTACTGAAAGCAAACTATAGCTGTTTATAGAATATTTCCCTCCTTCTGAAAGACAACATTCATAAGGTTTGTCTGCAGCAAAAAAAAAAACAGTTATGCCATCAGGATATGGTCAGTTACCTAGAAGACTGCAGCTTGGCCCAATTTTATCTTTCTTGGTTAAGTTTTAACAACTCTTTTATGTTGTTTTATATGCTTTGACATGACTAATTTTAGATATCAATTGGGCCAAGCTTTTTTGAGATCCCAGTCCAAAATAAATGTATTTATTTATTCATTCTTACAGAGAATAAGGTACACACTACTGAGCATCATAATAGATAGAGCTAAATGTGGCAACCAAAAAAAATCCTATTCAAGGACACTTAAATCTTATATCTGTAATTAGTTGTTCAAACCATTTGCGGTTGCCCAATTGCATTTTCGGTAATTTCTCTTATTGAAGAATATGCTTGTTCAAATTATAAAAGATCCATGTATTGGATTTAGTTTGCTCTACCTAAAATTTTTACTCTCTGGAAAGTGGCTGTGGAGAGAATGAAAACTGAATATAGGTACTGTAGTGGCACTGAAAATATGGGTTGGAGACAGATGGACCAGAGGGACATGTAGAGAGACTACGAGCAACATTGACTTCCTTTCCTCTTTTTTAGATGTTTTGCCCAAGATCTATATGGATTTTTCCCTCTCAGCTTTTATCAAATACTTTCGATATATTTTTGTTTCCACTTCTGCCCCTGTCTTATCATAGCAAGGAGGGCGCTTCAGTTTAGGGTTACAGGAACTCCTTCTACCTACTCCTTGTCCAGCAGCATGGATTAAGAGTCTGGTCATGGCACGAAGGGATGTGGGATGCTCCATATGTTGTTGGGCTGCAGCTCCCATCAGCTCTAGCCCATACGGCTACTGGATAGGAATTATGGGAGATGCAAGCCAAAAAGGAGCTCCACACATCCCCTAGTCTTGCTGTACAGCAACTAGATATTGCTAGAAAAAAAAACATAATTGAGGCAAGTGTCATACACTGCTTTCTGTAAATACCGGGATGTGGGATGCTCCAGATGTTGTTGGGCTGCAGCTCCCATCAGCTCTAGCCCATACGGCTACTGGATAGGAATTATGGGAGATGCAAGCCAAAAAGGAGCTCCACACATCCCCTAGTCTTGCTGTACAGCAACTAGATATTGCTAGAAAAAAAAACATAATTGAGGCAAGTGTCATACACTGCTTTCTGTAAATACACCATTCTTTGGCAGATTCTGATTCAAAGGGACTAATAAGGGGTGAAGAGGCAAAGGAATGACAAGCGATCATTTGTGTTGGTGTTTGAATCTGTAGTTCACAACTGGCAGATTTCTATAAAGTGGACATGTCTCCATACCTGTTGGCCATGGGCATTTTGTAGGATGAAGCCCCTGCTGCTAGGCCAGTGATTAGGTTTCCTGAACCAATTCCAAACAATGGCTCCTGGTGGTCACTCTCTAGGACCTGGATGAGAAAAGATTTTCATCAGCAATGTCTTTCTTGTTTTCTCTTTTCTTTCTTGTATCATTTTTTTTAATCCGGCCATTCAAATGGCTGTTCACGGCTTTTATCTCTTTCTTGTATCATTTTTTTAAATCACCATACAGTTATATGTATTGTTATGTGGGGTGTGCAGGATTTGTAAGTTTTAATTTGTAAACTGTCCAGCATAGTGCACACACTAATGGAGCAGTATATTTTTAATCACCATATAGTTATATGTATTGTTATGTGGGGTCTGCAGGATTTGTAAGTTTTAATTTGTAAACTGTCCAGCATAGTGCACACACTAATGGAGCAGTATATAAATTACATTATATTATATTTACATTAAATAATATTAAATTGCATTAAATTAAAATAGTCTCCTTTTAGTTTTATTCAATTTTATATACCCAAAAAGTCCAATTCCAATCAAGTTACCAACCTCTTTCTTGGCACTAATTTGTGCCTATTTAGCAGGTGGAGGGCAGACACAAATCTTACCAGGACAATTTTCTGTCTCAAAAAGCAATGGAAAACAGACAAATGCTGACCTTAACTGCACTTTCGTTTTAAAGGCGTGAGAGTCTCTGCAAGTCACAGAACAAGCAATCCTAATTTTTCCCTACAATGTTGTCAAGTGTGAGAACTGAGAGTTAAAAGAATGTTCAACTCCCCAGGTTACAGAGAGCCATAGAGCAGTGTGGGAAATGTAGGGTAGCACCATCTTGAGCAAGAGGTTGATAGGGCTCCCCGTGTACATTCTCTACCTTTCTGACATTCCTAATGAGCTCTTGTGCTTGTGTTGGATCACCAGGACCACCGGAAATGAAAAGCCCATCATAGTCCATCTGGGTGAAATCATGATTCCAAGGAACCAGATGTACTTCAGCTCCTCTCTGTCAAGGAGATACAGAAGAAAAGGATTAGACAATTAATGAATGGAAGATGTATAATGCAACTTGGCAGGATGATACTGGGGTCTGAATTCAGGAGAACCAGGTTCAGAGGTCTGGTCTGCTGTGACACTCTGCTTAGCCTCCAGCATAGGAAGATAGGAGACCTACCCCTCCCATCTTCAGGCGCCTGAAGGATGCCCCAGGGCAAAAGGAAGACTGCTTCTGCTACCTAATACATAAACAAGATTTTGGGCAATATTATTCAATTTAACCAACCTTAGAAGGTTATAAAGTTAAGGACATATTGGCAGCAATTCTACATAAGTGGGATACATCGGGACTATTTCTGCAAAATTTATTTCTCAGCTTAGCAGGTCTCTGTGGGCAAAATGAATGGACACATTCTGTACTCCATTCTCAAGCTTGAGAAAAACATATCAGATCCAAAGAGAAAGTAGAATTGGCATGGAGGCTCATGTTTTTAAATACAAAATACCTGTATCACTGTTCCAACTCTTGAGGAAATTCCCTTCGGCTTTCACAAATCAGCAAGTCATGGTTTCTACCTAGTTTGGCATGCTCTGTGCCAACTTTTTAAATGAGTTCTGGGGGCAGAGGGAGGAAGGAAACTGTTTTAAATATATATTTACCTTTACTAGTAAACGAATAGCATTCTGCTTTAATCCACAGTCCACAGCCACAATTTTGATTGGATTTCCTTTGCCATATACTTTGACGGCCTGTTGATATATTAAAGGGAGGAAACGACATTGTTGTTTGCCAATTAGTCATTGATTACACAAGCACATCAAGGTTTGGATGACAAATCCCAGATACTGGGCCAAAACAGACAGATTTGGACATCCGAAGCTAAGCAAAGGTAAGTTGAATCACTCTGAAATTAAAATAGGGTTTCCCAAAGTTCTGAGAGTTACCGTATTTTTCGCTCCATAAGATGCAACTTTCCACAAGACGCACCAATTTTTTAGGAGAAGAAAACAGGAAAATATAATCTGTTTTCTTCGCTCCATAAGATGCACAGACCCCCCCCCCCCCGTTTTGTGGGGGAAAAGTGTGTCTTATGGTGCGAAAAATACGGTAATTTAGAGGCACAGATACATAGATAGGAACAATAACACCTCAATCTCAACCACTGAGCAAGAGTTCGTGGGATTGTTTAAAGCTTTAACCCCAACCCCCGCTCCAGGTTGGAACAAACAAGGACGTTTTCAAATCATCCTTCCCCTACTCTAAGAATTCTAATCGGAATTGCTGGAATGGGGATAATGTAAAGCCAAAAAGCAAAAAAAGCAAAGTGTGCTGCTTATACTGCATACCACTCTGTAGAGCTTAAAGCTTTTCTCTGGGCAGTTTACAATTTTTTATTAGTCAGGCTACACATTGCCCCCATCCCCTTGAGCGTCATACTCCATTTATCAGCTTTGGAAGGATGGAAGGTTGAGTCAACCCTGAGCTGGTTATCTGAGTCCAGGATTGAATTCAGTTATGAGCAGAGTCTTCACTTGCAGAACTGCAGATTTACCACTGTGCAACGAGGCTCCTGGGAGAAGCTTTGTGCATGTGTGTGCACTCACACAAGTATGTGTGCACACTCATGCACAGGACGATACACAAGTTAAGCCCCTAGCAACTCCACAAATGTCAAATGCAGCACACAGGATGGTGAAAATAACCCATCCCTAATTCAAAGGCTCTGCTTGCAACTGTATGCTGTGCACAAGCTCTGCAAAGGCAGCCTGAATGAAATGCTATCCATCTATTCATTCCATTAAGGAAGAAGCACTTAAATTTTCTTTGGTTTTGGTGCTGTCAGCTGAGAAGAAAATAAAATGAATCCTTAAATAGTTTTTCATCCATCCTAACTCACTAACTCCTGCATTTATCCTTCCGACATGTTTCAGGTTTCTTATTCAGGGGCATCTCTACAATGTCTGCATCCCAATTTCCCACAAAACCTCGAGCGGATTTTTAGCTCCATTTAACTTTAAAGGTGCCTAGAACACAATAAACTTTAAAGGCTCCTAACACACAAACACATACACCCACAACCTTAGCCCCCTCCAAACATATCCTTCTCGAATGTTTGCATGTTTCTTCCCAAGGGTCATTTCTATCATGTTTGTCTTTTCCATACTGATTGTCCCACAAAATACCCCAAAGAGATAAATAAATCTTCTTAAAAAACAAAAACAAAGGCTGCTCTTCCATAAAACTACCTGCACTGGTCTATCTGAAATTCAGTAAGCTTCTAAGAGAGTACTAAGCCTGAAAATTTCATCTAGTCTTCTCAAGACTCAGAAACATTTGATGTGTGTGTTGTTGTTTTTTTTAGTTTCCAATTAGAGTCAAAGGGGAGAGACAACACTTCAGATTTCTGAAGTGAGATTCTGATTTAAGTTGAACATCTTGGCCTGCAAAACAGCTCAATAAAAGGTGCAACCACACAGAAGGTTGATGCAAACTTCGGCATACCACACCCCACCCATTGAATCACTGCTACCATTTACACAGAAATGCTCAATTATACTCTGAACATGCATTCCAAGGGGCCATCTGTCACATGGTCTTCCTTGCCAACTCAGCCTTCTCTGCTGTTATCATCATCCTCTACCCTACCATTTTCACTTCCCCTTCAACGACTATCAGCCTTTACAGCAAAAAGTTTTATAACACATATGTATTATGTACATACATAAATACGACACTACAAAATTCTATGCCTTCTAGGCATTAAAATGTCTGCCTTTGAAAAAGAAGTTCAGCAAATGAAATAGCACTGAATTGGCAAGACATGGCAAGCACTGGAATCAGTACTGGAGATGGTCACGAACTGCAATTTGGCAGTTTGGTGCCCACACAAGTGTTCCGCAGGCGCAACACACTCCCCTCTCCTGCCTCCTCTGTGCATTCACCCATTCCTTAGGTGATACACCCTACCTCCTTAGTGTGATTGCCCACTCACTGATCGCAGCACACACGGTCACGAACTGTAATTCGGCAGTTTGTCTGTTTTGTGCCCACACAAGTGTTCCGCAGGCGCAACACACTCCCCTCTCCTGCCTCCTCTGTGCATTCACCCATTCCTTAGGTGATACACCCTACCTCCTTAGTGTGATTGCCCACTCACTGATCGCAGCACACATTTCCCATATGTTTTATTCACATAGACCATGAAGAATAACAAGAGAATGTAAATGTGTTCCTTAGAATTGATTCTAATATTCCAGTGACCACAGGACTCAGTTTGCTATGTGCTCGTATCAAATCAGAATTTACATAAATATTACACTACAAAATTCTAGCCTATAATTAGGCATTCAAACATCTGCCTTTGAAAAAGACATTCACCAAGTGAAATAGCACTGAATTGGCAAGACATGGCAAGCACTGGAATCAGTACTGGAGACGGTCACGAACTGTGCAATTTGGCAGTTTGGTGCCCACACAAGTGTTCCGCAGGCGCAACACACTCCCCTCTCCTGCCTCCTCTGTGCATTCACCCATTCCTTAGGTGATACACCCTACCTCCTTAGTGTGATTGCCCACTCACTGATCGCAGCACACATTTCCCATATGTTTTATTCACATAGACCATGAAGAATAACAAGAGAATGTAAATGTGTTCCTTAGAATTGATTCTAATATTCCAGTGACCACAGGACTCAGTTTGCTATGTGCTCGTATCAAATCAGAATTAATATAGTGATGAAAAAGCCACCCATATTGAAAGGTCTTTTTGCATGGGGAACGTTTGCATCTCGCACATGAAATCACACAAAAGGAAAGCTAAACCATTAGCGTGAAACAATTCCTGATTATGGGCCATAGTAAGATCTTTTCCTTTGTTTGATCCATTAAAATGGTAGGAATTTTTCTGTTCCATTCATTAAATTTACAATAGTTTGCTAATCAACAATTATTACAACTTAATATTTCACACAAATGAAACATTACAACATGTTTCTAATTTCCTAATTAAATTTCAATGGTCATATTGGAACAATTTAATTTTATTCTATTAGTGATGCGGTAGTAATTCACTACAAACTAGAATTAATATAATGATGAAAAAGGCAACCATACTGAAAGGTCTTTTTGCATGGGGAAAGTTTGCATCTCACACATGAAATCACACAAAAGTAAAGCTAAACCAGTAGTGTGAAACAATTCCTGATAATGGGCCATAGTAAGAACTTTTCTTTTCCTTTGTTTGATCCATTAAAATGGTAGGAATTTTTCTGTTCCATTCATTAAATTTACAATAGTTTGCTAATCAACAATTATTACAACTTAATATTTCACACAAATGAAATATTACAACATTTTTCTAATTTCCTAATTAAATTTCAATGGTCATATTGGAACAATTTAATTTTATTCTATTAGTGATGCGGTAGTAATTCACTACAAACTACCTGTCATTAGGTTCTCTCACTATAACGTAAGTATTATTTTTATTATTATTCAAAAACACCAGACACAGTCAAAATTATAAAAATATTTACTGGTATTATATATAACAGATACAACTTTTAACCAGAAACCTAAGTATCTGTTTAATATTAATGCAGTATGAGGGCTGTATCTAATATTGCCGTTTTTGGGGGCGCTGATGGTGTGATTTCTGAGATCTGCACCATATCTGTTTACTATCAATGCAGTATATAGGCTGTATCTAATATTGTCGTTTTTTGGAGCGCTGATGGTGTGATTTCTGAGATCTGCAACTGCAGTGTGAAAGTTCTTGATATTCTTCCCAAAGCCTCAATGGCTACGGGGACCATGGAAGTGTGTTTCATCCACAAGCTATAGGATGGAAGTGTGTTTCATCCACAAACAAGATGTTTTGATTGCCAGGCCTCTTTACTTTGTTAGTTTTCCCAGTTCTTAATTTACAACTCTGGCATCCCCTGGAATTGCAATGTCAATTATCCAGACATTTCTTCATTTTATTATGACCATGTCTGTTGTGTTATGTTCAAAGTGTATATCTGTTTGGATCCAAAAATCCCACAGGATCTTGTCTTCCTCATTTTCATTTTGGAAGCTGACAAGTTCTATTTTTTGCATAGTGACCAGTGCACTCATTTTACCATTCTATCATGTCTAACTTTGTAATCTGTTTGTGTCTGTTTGTGCAATCTTTGGACATTCGTATATGAGGTGTGACACAGTTTTATCTTTTTCTTGGCACAGTCAACATTTGCTGTTAGCACTAATTCCTTGGATCTTAGCTTTCATCACATCAGTTTGGAGTGCTTGTTCTTGTGCAGCAAAAATCAAGCCATCGGTTTCTTTCTTAAGGGTCCCCAGTCATGCTCATGTTGAATTATGATCATGTTTTTCATCAATATTTCTCAGGAGTTGTCCATATAGTGATTTATTTTTCCAGCTCTTTAGTTTATTTTTAAATTGTTGTTTCTTATATTAAGCCTTTGTTTCTGTTGTTTTCAAAATATTCTATATTTTCATTGATTTCAGGAATTTTTCTCTACTTCTACTGATATAATCATTTAGGCTTCTTTTTTCTCCCTCTACTACCTGCTGTATTTGCAGTAATCCATGGCCTCTGATTTTTTCTGGTATACAGAGGTAAACTGTCTCTGAATATGGAAGTAATTTTTAACTATTATGGTTAGTATTCCTCAATTTTATTTTGTTATTAATTTACTGATATATTTCATATCAGTCTTATACCAATAGATCATTATTAGAGATT